AATGTCTAATGTTTGTTAGAAAGTAGCATAATCTGTCACACTCACTCACCTATAGAGGCACATTGACTCGCTATCTGAGTCACAATGAACTTGAAAGCCTTCAAATTGGAGGGGAAGCTAAATAAATACATCTTTAGTGTCTCATTAGGTGTGTCCGTGTCTTCACAGAGCATATGTGTGTCCTACCATGACTGGGCCTCAGCATTTACTGTATGTGCCTATTTTTATCTGCACCCTCATGTACATTAATATTCATGGACAGTGTCTCTGTTTCTACGTATGTGTGTTCCTCCAAATATGTCCATCATGCAGAGCGCTCTGAGCATGACTTGGCTCCTCCTGGATTAATCACATCTATCAGACCTATCACATCTATTCAAAAAACACATTTTTCAACCCTGGTAAATGTGTTTGAGAGTGTGTAGTCATTTGAAGGGTGTATGCCTACCGCTATTAATGTTAGTTAACATTTAGTGCTTTTGCTTTTTAAGTTCTATGTAACATATGAGATCTATAGTTATTATTTTCCCCAGGTCTTCATGACTTGGAGCATCCTGATGTAGCGCTGGCAGACGAATGGTGAGAGTTGGTCGGCGATGCTGTATGTTTCTGTTCTGACGATATATTCCACGTCTGGTATTCAATGCATACTGTGATTGGACTATATTCTAAAAATACTATTTACATGTAAAATCAAAACTATCTACAACCTAACTGCAATATAATACTCACAAAACTGCTTTGTAGGTTGCTGGACTTTGAGTTGATGCTTTGTGTCACTGACTTGTTGTTACCAGGATTGGGAACCAACATCTAAATAAATGATTGTAAAATGCTTTTCAAACTAATTTTCATCATAGATACAGTACCTTGCAATACAAAAGTAAATGAAATCATTTGGACTACATATCTAATTCATATCTAAAAGCATATTTTTTTTTAAAGCTGTCAATTACGTTTGTTGTGTCCTCATTGCCGATACTATTTTGCAGGACATACTGCAACACAGATGAGCCCCCAAAGCACCGCTACTTGTCCCAGATAGAGGCAATCAAGCTCTACCTCAGTGGACACGAACCCCACCTACAATGTCAGTTAAACTCTTCTGAAAATCCTCCATTCCTCTCTCTGCTCACCGAATTAAATGCATTTATGTGACGTGGCCGGTGTGAATGTGTTTGTTTTGTCAGGTGATAAGGAGCTGATTCAGGAGGTTCTCTTTGATGCGGTGGTGACTGCGCCCTTGGAGGCCTACTGGACAAGCCTTGTGCTCAATAAGTCTGAGTGTGTGACCCGCTCTCCGCTTTCTCTTCCATCTTCTTGTCCAAAACACTGGAAACTCTGCAGAAACTCAACGCACACTGAATACTATAGTCATAACTCAATGCTACTAAAAATTCCAGAAATGAATTGTTAATACTAACAATGTTACTGGATGTAATTGTTGTACACAGGAACTCTGATAAAGGCGTGGAAATAGCTTATCTAGGCACAAGAACAGGCCTGTCCAGAATTAACCTGTTTGTGGTGCCTGGGGAGCTTACAAACCAGTAAGTATATTGCGTATTTATTCGGTCTAAATGTACACTATGAATGCACATAAATAAACTTTGACGTGTAAGTGTGTATTGTCTCTTTGTTTATGATTCCAATCAGTATATATATATATATTTTCCCTTTTGTTTATACAGCATCTGTATCTTCATCAACTCTTGTTTCTCTTTCTGCTTCAAGAGACTTTCTGACAGCTGAAGACAAAGAGGGGGTGTTCAACGCCGATCACTTTCCCTTGTGGTACAAGAGAGCGGCTGAACAAGTTCCTGGTACCTTTGTCTACTCTCTGCCTTTTAACTCAGGTTAGTTATAGATTTCAAAGGTTGATGAGTCAATTATTCTTACAAAGTTACATGTTCTTGTGCTCAGTTCTACAGTTACCTTTTTTAGTGTGCCGTAATTAAACCAATGCCATTGTGAGACAGTGACATTTCACTAAACACAAAATTTAAATGTCACATTCACAAGACGGAGAAAGACCTTTTAAAAAGAATTCCGTCGTCCCATTTTTTCGTCTTTCACCCAAAGGTTTTCTTTTTTTTCTCACCATGCACCACTACCTCCCCTGACGCTCTTATTAATTCTAGGCTGTGTTCTCGTGGAGAGAACTGATTGCTGTGGGTTGAAATGCGATACCTTACGTGTAGGTTCAGCCCTTTCCATTCTGACTCGGCCAGAAGGCTCATGCAGACACACACTTACAAAAAACACACACACACACACACACATACACACAAGCATCTCGCACAGTTGCAGTTGCAGTTTAAGTGTGTCTACAAAATGGTTTTCCTTTCCGAAGGGAGAATGTGTTCTCGTCTGTCCTCAGCCGCAGGCTTTCCATTAGTGCCAGCTAATACAAGAAATCTGAAAGCCTCTTATTTATTTGCCGGACTTGCCTTGGATGCACTCTCTCTCTCTCTCTCTCTCAGGACCGGGGCAGTTAGCTGTAGCCCTGACATGGTCCTCTGTGGTATCTATGTTCTGTTTTCCTCTCTCTCTAATTTCCCCGTGGTTCGTTTAGAGCGGAGTATGATTTGTGATATGAACTCTGCGTGTTGTGTTTACATGTGCTTTTATGTGTCTGTCTCAGGATCAGAAAACAAGAGTGTTGTCTTGGCCAGCACCGCCATTCAGCTTCTGGATGAGAGGAAATCACCCATAGCTGCGGGTAAGTCCAGTGGCCCTTCCTCTCTCACAAACACACTTCCACATTGACACAGGCTGCATTATTCTCTCTTTACACTGCTACGTAGGCTTTGTTTTACCGCCATACTGTTGTCCAACCCAACATCTTTACTGCTGTTGGAGTTGAAACACTCACCTCGCCCATTTTCTGGGTGTGCTGCTCTATTTCTCCATGTGCTTGGCCCTGCATCAACACATGCTCAGAAAATGGCAAAAGTGCAACGTGCAGACATTTGAAATGAAGACCATTTCTTCCTACAAGTATTAATTGAGGCCAAATATTAATTTCACCACTGCCTTTTGTGCATTCGGTTTCTTCCCCTTTGCTTATTCGAGGCATACTGTGGACTGGAGGATTTCATTGTGGCCTGCCTCATGTCACGTCCTGGTGATTCACAAGCCTCACAATGTCATGCCCGTATAACGCAACTTTGTGCAATCAGCAACTTGCTGCTATGAAGTCCGGCTCTTGTTCTGTTTGCCATCAACTTAGAAAAGGAGGAAAGAAGCTGATGTTTGACTGTTTGAAAGAAATGGAGAAGTTTGGGTTTGGATAGGAATTGTGAAACAGTACTTGGATTATTATTTTTGGGAAAGTTTTGACATGACTCATTTTCCCCAAAGGCAAAAGATGACTTCCAGTCATTGTTTTGTGTATTGTAGTATGTAAAGAGGGCTAGTATATTGCAACCCGTGTTCTGTAAGCACATGCATAGCCTTCGGCCGGACTCTATGGGTAATGTTGTTCTACAATCACAAGCATGCATTCATGCACTGAAATTATTAGGAAATCAGTTTTCCCACTATTTTGCATGTATAGCCACAGTAACCCATAGAAACATCTGGAGTAGCTCTATTCAAATACACAGTACAGTGTGTGAAGTCCGGCTGTGGAAAGGATATAAGGTATGTACCAAAGAACAATATGGAGCACATATTTTTCCCCAAATACAGCTTTTTCTGAGAATTATCTGTTTGAGTTCTTCCGTTAAAAATGATGGCTAGTAAAGCCCGTTTGAGAATCACAGATAATATCTGATCAGAAGAAGGAAAATCTAAAGAAATGAACATATTTAGTAAATGCAGTGATAAAATAAGAATAATAATAAAATGCCAGAGAAAGAGAAAATTATTTCATGGTCCTGAATGCGTCGACATGAAAGCAGTGCATTGTGGGTGCTCCTGGCCTGGGGGAAACCACTTGAGCAGAAGGACAGAGATGGGAGAGTCTGTGCAGTGCCACAATGGACGCACACAGACACACACACACATCCACAAAGAGCATGCAGCAGATTTCTTACAGAGCAATACGCATTCAGCCCACAGTTTACATCAGCCCACGGTATTATTTGATACCGCGGACTCAATCTCTGTTGTTTTAAGATAATATCGTTCTCTAAAATGCTGTTTAGCAGCATTTCAAAATGGCTAATCAGTAACACGGCTTCATGATAATCCTATTTTTACATTGAACAGTAATGGCGGCCGTGCCATCGCTTTAAGGGTGATTTTATATAAGAGAGTCAAATGGCAGGAGAGATGTAGGCTGGAATGCAGATTTAGCACGGGCCGGTTAGGGCCAGTTTTCACTGCCCTGTGCTCCACTGAGCTGTGGACTTGTGAATACGCTGTACACTAACTGAAAAGGACAGGCTGATGACATCACACGCCATTGGCCCTGCAGACATCACTTGAGTCACAATGTTACCGTGTTTGTACATACACGTGTGTGTGTGTGTGTGTGTGTGTGTGTGTGTCATTCAGTGTTTGTGGTCACATCCTGAGCCACGTGCAGCGAATCTGTTGCCGTAATACACAGAGCAACAAAACTCAGGTCAGGCGTTAAGACCAAAGCCATCTGTGTACATTTGTGTGCCTCCATGCTACACAGAGTAAGCTGAAAATCAATGCAAATTATTTATACACAGATAATGAGCAAACGCGTCTAAAGCAGATTTTTCCCATGTGAACCTGTGAACACCATTAGAAGAAAATTATACAAAATCACAAATTACATATAATTAATTTCTCATGCCAGATACCAAAATATAAACGTTCTATCAACTGTGATCCACAATATTTTCATAGTGCTATTTTATAAAAAAATTGTATATAGCATATTATTTCAAAATACATGTCCTTATCCTGATAGTGTGTGATACAGACTGTAAAGCCCTCTGAGGCTAATTTGCGATTTTGGGCTATACAAAATAAAATTAATTGAATTGAATACTTTCAATAAGGACCCATGGCAAACATTATTGCTGTATTCCATTTTATCTATTAAAACATCAAAGGCTGCACTAAGGTGCTTTAATACATTGGTATTTAAAATGGTCATTTAAAAAGCACCTAGTAAACAAACAAAGAAAACAATGATCAGTCATTAAGAATAAATTCATCAACAGACCATACAAAATTTGAATGACACATAAGTGTTATTAATTAAAAAAACTATATATCTGGGGTCTGCTGGGAACTCCGTTAGAAGGATTAAGATACTTTCTCCAAATACTTATGCATGCCTTGTTAAAGTAGTTGCCAGTAGACATATAGTCGTGAGGTAAAATATTTCCTTTTATTTTATGTAATACATTTTGAAAGACATGACTACACTTATGTAATCAGTATTGACTCACAAACAAGACTCAACTGATCTCCAAAACTGTCAATTTAAAAAATATCTGTATGTAAGTGTGACTTTGTGCAGCAGGAAGTCATTAATCCTTATAAAGCTGTAGTTTTAGGAAGTTTTAAGAAAAACAACAATGCCGAGTTCAGGTTTTGTTGTTTTCGTTTTAGTTTGAGTCATTATTGCTTAAGTGAAATTTCCATCTTCACTTGTGTTGTCAGAAAAATATCCTTTAAGAAAACATATATACTTCTCAAAACTATGACGTTTTTAGGCACAAACTCTTAAATTCTTTATAAATTTGTGACTACAGTGTACATCTCCACAAGCACACTAAAGCACAAATCAAATACCGACACAAAACTCTCATCTTTGTTCTCACACTCTCACGTTAATAATATTACAACAGAAATGAACTGACAGCAGCTGCTTACTACGAGTTACCTCAATCAGACTCAAGTTTTATGAATAACCAAAAGACAGCTAATTCTGAAATCCATTTTCAAGATACTAGAGCTTTACTATTAGACCTACAAGTACACAAATATAAATATATAGCAACTTGTTCTTATCTGTGATATGCATTTCTCAAAAAAAAATGGAATTGATTCCTTTTGGATTCTTTGGCCTTCCCCACAAACCCGCATACAGTAGAAGGTACTCTTCTTATCAGTGCATAGTCAAATACTAATTAAGATTAGCTACCCAAGTCTCAGAAAGGAAGTGAACATACACACACTCCAACACATAAAGAATCACACCCTTCATTTTTTTTCCCACACATGCACTAACACGCACGTGGCATCCAGAGCAGATTAAGTTAAAGGGTTGAGGACCAGGAATTAGGTCCAGGGTTCACGTTATCATCTCTTAGGCTATGGCGTTCTCCAGCGGTTCCTTCTCAGCCGCAGCATGATCTGCCCGCTTTGCTGCTGCCGACTCCTCGTTCTTCTTAAGCTCCCGCTGATATTTGGCCATGATAGCGGCGTAAGCGCAGCCGTACACCGCGGCGACGAGCATCATCAGGCACACAATCCCACACACTACGCCAGTGATGATCACCGTGGCGATTGCATGGCGCAAGTTGACAGGCCGCTGCCTCTGCTTAGGTTCACACTCTGGCAAACCCCCTCCTCCTCCGCCTCCTCCTCCACCACTGAAACCCTCCCCCATTGCCATGGGGACGTGGATGGCATGGCTGGAGGGATGAGCATGGTTGCCATGGGTGTGGCCGCGCAGTAGCCTCTCGTTCTCCAAGTGGTGTATGTTGGCAAACAGGTAATGGTAGCTCGTGGTCATGCAGGAGTGGAAGAGCTGGTAAGGTACTTTCTGCAGGTCTCTATCCTTCATTTCTTCTGGCTGGGAACAAAGCACCTCATCCACCACGCCACCTTGGGATCAGAGTTACATAGTTAGATCAGAGAGAGAGGCAGAAGGTGGACTATGGGACAGGAAGGGATAGTGGGGAATGCAATAGTCGGTTCTTGTTTTATAAGTGGAATACCTTTATTTTTGGAAGCTTAGTACAGAAGAGGCCACAATTGTTATCATCATGGCTAAGCCTGAACCATCCCATTACTAGCGATATTTATCCGTCTAGAGTATAATGGCTAACTTCAAAGGGCCGTATTAGGTAGTGTGTATATGCGTAAGCTTACAACATTATTCCTTATGCTTCATGGTCTGTTTTACTTAACTTCCATGGTTCGGCCATGTTATTGAAGACAATTAACAATTCAAACTTTACTGTATGTTTTAAATTGTCATCATACATTATCCAATATTAGATACATTAGGTCACCTCCTCCAAAACAGCCTTAGTCAGATGTTAATGATGCCTAAAAGGCAACACAACCGACCAATAGTATGAAAGCTAAAACACCATAAATTCCTTCCACACCTTACACCAAACTGCATGACACACACGCTCTTTCTACCATCTCGTCTATTTTGTTCTCTGCTGTATAAATGCCTCCTAGCGTAAAATATATGAACATTACATTAATCTGGGATCAGTCAAATCAATTTAAATTGCAAAAATAGGCCCTTCTCGCGCTTCTTTCTCTCTCTATTGAAAGTCAGTATTACAATAATCTAAAAACAAAAAGTTTGAAATGTTGAAGACATTGCTCAAGCCTTTTTTCCAGGAGCTGGCAGTGGTCTAACCTTTATAGAGGTAGGTCTCCAGCCAGAGTTTGAGGCCTATGAGCTGGCAGTCACACCTCCATGGGTTATTTCGTAGTGTGAGGCTGTCCAGGCGGGTCAGAGCCTCCAACAAGGAGCGGTCCAATCTTGTTAGCCTGTTGTGTGCGAGCCCCAGGTGGCTTAGGTTCCTCAAACTGTCGCCTATGGCTCCAGGCAAACCCCACAGGCTGCAGGTAAGGGCATGGCAAGGAAACAACATGAAATACATGCAATGTGCCGTTCGCAGTGTGCCATGTTTGACAAAATGTGCGCCGTTTTTGTTGCTTAACCTGTTGTGTGAGAGGTCAAGGTGCGAAAGCGAGTGGATGGGTCCGAGCAACCGCTTGTCGAGCTCTCTCAGGCTGTTGGAGGCCAGGCTGAGATGCTGTAGAGTTCTGAGACCAAGCAGGGCAGTTGGCGAAACCAATGTTATAGAGTTATTAGATAGATCGAGAATGCGGACAAGTGGTATTTCTCGGAAAGCCATTGATCCCAGACCCCTGATGCGGTTGTCTTGGAGATACAGTTCTTGGGTGTCTGGATGCAGTCGTCGGGGGATGTCATATAGACCTCTACCCCGGCAGTCTACTACCTTGGTGTTGCTGTTGCAGTTACACTCCTTTGGGCATGCATGTGACAAAGAGAGAAGGGATAGGAGGCCACATACCAGAACCACTGTGGAGACAGGGGGGAAATGGTATTAGTTTTGATGTATATCGGAATGTATGCCTGTGATCTCTTACCGTATTATACCCTACTACTATTACATAATTCTATACATTCAGACCACAGTCTTCAACCTTCATAATCACCATCTTCACTGAAGCAGATAAAGGCAGTTGTCACTGAAAATAAACATTTACTACATTCACTTGCATCTGAATATAAAGTTTTTAGAAAAGAATGCAGTCCTTTTGCTTCTGCTTGTTTCTTGGTCGAATAAAATAGAAAGTAAACTTATTACCAATATGCCAACTCCCACTTGCCAACCTCCACTAGATCGAGGCCCTTAGTGACTCATAACCCCTCACCCACACTCCACCCTCGCATGAATCCATATGTAGCAGATATTGGATGTCAGATTCCCTTTGAGATGACTTCTCATGTCCATTCCTTGGAACATTAGTACAGCAGTATTTATAGCATCGGCTGGGCTAGCTAGAGGCCCAGTAAAATGGGGCTCTGACACAAGCCTAGGAAAGAAGCTGACTCCCGGGTTGCACTCCTAAAGATAAGATAGAGATAAAGGTCAAGAGGTTGTTATTGTCGTTGCACTGATGCAACACAATTTGGTTTCATAGCCCTCAGCCAACCAGCAGCAGCAGCGAGCAACAAAACAGCCTGAACAAATTGATTAGCTGCAACTTGTTTACCTCAATAAGCATAACATGTTCTTTCCTGGACATTGAGCAGCCCTGTTGCTAATTGTGTTTGTTTAATGTTTTCTAAAATGGGAGTTATCTCATCCTTTCCTGTACCACCAATGACGCACAGGATTCTTTGTCTATTTAATTTCCTTGTGATGAAGAAGTTTTATATCAACCTAAAATGTATTTCCAGATGGTTTTAAGAAAGATATTTGAAGACATTGACTCTAATAATGAAACAATCATTGAGGAACATTGATTTGAAAGTGACAGAAAAACATAACACTCATATCACACTCTTGAGATATCCAGCAGTATCACTTTAAAAATACTCCCCCTGCTCCCCTGATCTTTGAATGTAGATTATTGTAATATAGTCCAGTAATTACAGAGTCCCATTTACAAGCACATAATCATTTTGTCTATGCCTGGTTTGGTGGACATCCTGCAGTTGATTCTGATTTGCAGGTTTAGAAATACACAGTCACAGGAGCTTCCAACTCTGGTCTCAGGTGTTAGTTTGGTACGACGGCTCTTGCGAGATTTACTCTTGTGATAATATGCTACTTGCATCAACAAAAACAATCAGAAAATAGTTGGGTTGAGGATTTTAGCGTGCTCTTGTGCAAAGCCTCATGTTAATTGCATCCTTGTTAGTGAGTGTGTGTGTGTGTGTGTGTGTGTGTTTATGCAAGAATGCATTCATTCACATGTGCTTGTACACGTGTGCATCTACTCATGAAAAAACTCATATACATACAGTGCATGAACACATAAACAGCATCAGTTCAGTGAAGCATTGCAACAGCAGCTCTGGAATCAGGTCAACACAGGAGAATGGCTCTATGCTCTTATGTATCCCTCCAGCCCATAGTACACACAGACAAGCTTGTAATGGCCTGCACACACGTAGTACTGCCTTCAATCTCCCTAACACCAATGTTAATATCTAAATACAACAAGAAATACTCAATGATAATGTACAACTATAACCATATGAGTGTGAATGTTTGGCTGATATCTATGCATTTAATTGTTGTTGATTAAAGAACCTTCATGAGCCAGGAGCAGTCCGGCGTTATTACCACTCAGTTATACAACAGTTCACACAACATACTAGACATAGCAGTTGATAGCATCCGTGCTAGCCATGCATATGTATGATTCAAACACACACACACATACATATAATATGCATTAATTTGTACATTCTTTCCACTGGTGGAGCTCCTACCTCTCATATCTGCCAGTCGTTCGTGGGACGCTCTCATTCGATCTTCTTTTAGCTCCCTTTTTGGATTCTAGTGGCTGTCATTGGTTGGTGTTCCATTAGCCGTCAGTAGTAGGTTGAGATTAGCTGTCCTGACTCTCATCTCTGTGGGCTCATATGGTCGAGCTGTTGGAAACGAAGAGACCGTGATCAGCAGCAGAAACCTGTGTTGCCCTCAGGATCCCCAACACTGGCTGCACGAGCATGAAATCCCCATCAGAGCGGGCAGATCCGAGTACAAAGCTTACTGCCAGCCAGTCCGGGAATCACTGGAGTTATGGAGCTTTTTCTCTCTCTCTCTCTCTCCCTCGCTCTCTCCCTCACTCTCTCTCACTCGCTCTCTCTCTATTCGCTCTTGTTTCTATTTTCCCATTTCTCTCGTTGCTTGATTTTTATTTTATTTCTGCTCCTCTATTGAACTCATTGGGACGTTGGTGATGGGCTGTCCTCTCCCAGTGGGACGGCAGGAGATAACACAGCCTGCCAAACCACAGCTCACACACACACGTACGCCGACATTCACGTTACCTCCTCGTGCTTTGGCAAGATTTCAGCAAGACAAAATTAGAACTGGATTGTGTCATGTCAAATTGACAAATACTCAAAACACTTGAAGGAACAGTAAACGCGTTCGGAGGCAGCCCATCGTTGTAGAATGCTCTGATGGTATTATGCATGAGCCGTGGGCTGAAGGGCTGGCAGAACACACCCCCAGCACAGCAACACGGAACGCACGAATGCACACATACACATGCACAAACGCACACGGCAGGATATTAAGCTGTTGGTACTGTTTTTTTTTTTTTTTATGCATGTAAATGGATTGACTCTTAAGCTTATATGACCTCCTGGGTCATTGAAGTGGAAGCAAAAAAAAATGACCAAGACTTGAAGAGATTAATAATCAAATCATGTTTAATAAATTGAGCTTGCTAGTTGACCTTGCCTGGTATTAACCTGGTGCCCTCCCCCACCCCCTCATACTAATGTATATTCTTTCCTTTCATTCTTTCATACCGTAAAAAATGAAAAAAAGCGAAATTAACATGTGTAAGATGCTTATGTGATTGATTGTGACGAATCTGTAAGAAATGAGCCTTGAGCAACTGGTTCAAGATCTGTAAAAAGAAAAAGCTGTTTCGTCAACTGTAATACTTGCACGGGGTCATGCCACCGCGCACACGCATGCACACGTGAGTGGTCATTTGGACCTGCGTTGGAGAAGACACCTTCGCTAAAAGCTTAGATTGTTGATATACTGATTGCAACACTGTTAAGCATCAAACAGAGACAAGACATGCCCTTCTATTCCTGCTCTCATCAGATCATGTTATATTATCCCCATGTGCGTATCGTGTGATGCACTAAATGCATGTGACATCAAGTCCTCATGGGCATCCTACAGAAATGGTTTGCAGGATTTGAATATGATCTTTCGTATTAGATCTTATGTTCAGAAAGATATTCAAACTTATGCGTGCGACACGGATACATTATTTTCAAACGTCTTTCAACAACGGCTAGTCTTGGTTTTGCGTCTACAAGAACACACAGGATCGAGAAGCCTTTGGAGCGTAAGCCTTCAAGAGTGCCAGCATCCTTAAGAACAGCTTCCAATTCTGCGCATCCTGTGAATGTTGCTCAGCATCTTGACATTATCAGCGCTGTGCCGCTGTGGAATGCACCACCAAATGCATCTCTCAGAGAGCTCAGTGTGACTGTAGGACTTGAATGAGTTTAAACTTTTCATAAAGGTCACTGAGATGCAAACTGAGGCGTACACTAGGCGTTCAGAAAGAACGGCAACAGTGTGCTGATGGATGTCTACGTTTATGAAATCCTTATTAGGACCCTATAAAACGGAGGGATTTAAACTGGTTGTCGTCTCTCCCTGTCTGGGATTGCACTGATAGCAATTTCCTGATGGGGTGGATTTAGTGATGTTTAACGTCCCTTCATCTTTGGACTCATAAAGCCAGCTCAGGGCATAAATACCCTGGAGTTCTTAAATCGTGCCGAGGAAAATTAAATTGTACTCCATAGTACAGAAAATATCTGCGCATTAGTGAGGCAGATTTGGGATTTTCTCCATTTTGCTCCGAGCCGACTTCCAGGTAGCAGCGAACATTAATACACTTTTAACCTTGAATAAAACATGTTTAGAGTTAAACTCCAGTACTGCTCGTATAATATTTCAATGAAATATTTATGCTTGACCGTTCCATGGACTTCTTCATTTCACCATTTCAGAGAACTATTTCATGGCATCTTGATGAGAATTGTTTGAAGGTGTCATATTTCAGAATTGACAGTAACTTTTGCAGACACCTTATTCCACCTGTTTATCTTTCCTCCTTCTCACTCACTACTTCCTTGTTTTTACAGCTTCCTTAGAGTGAACAATCCCGTGTCTTTTAATGGCTTTATGATCTAAGTTCTTCCTGGTTTAATAACATGTGTGTTTCCATTGCCGTTGCCCAGCATCTTAAATTAGCCTCTCCTCCTGGGTTTTCCACGTGGGTGTAGAAATGGTTGGCTGCTGAAAGGATCTGGCAAAGCTTATGACAAGATAATCTGCACCTGTTCATCTGGGCTAGAGCTAAAACAGGCACCAGCAGCACCGTGCTGCACACAGAATCTGGACAATCACACAATTGCACAAGCACACTAAAAGTGCAAACCATTTCTCCACATGTATTACAAGGGATGTTAATTTTTTTTTGTAATGGATCCCATCTACATTCACACTCACCGTATTTACGTGACTCTCGACAAGTAATAACATACAAACAGCACGATGACATGTGGGCGCCTGCATTGAAACACAGCAATAAGCATTAACAATAACGTCCATTTACATTTACTGTTAACTCTGTTACGACAGTTGTACTTCATATACCTCTGGTAATTATGTGCCATATGACAATACTGATAATAATAATAAAGGTTACAAAATAATATACGTATATTAAAGTTATAAAGCAAGTAAGGCGGGTTTTCCCCTGTTGTGTGAGTTTGGGCCAAATACCCGTAACTTGGGGTTACGGTGTTGTGGGGTTGTTGAATCAAACCATGCAGGCCGTTGAAGTGCCAACTCTCTTTTTGTTCCCAACACATGCGTTACCACTAGACGTTTCAATCAAGGCTGAATACAGATATGTTCAGACCTACCGTATGAGAACAATATTGTCGGGTTTTAAAAAAAACATACCATTAAAATGGATTCCAGTGCCACTCTTTTTTCCATTTAGTAAACTACCTGTGGCTGCTCTACATTTGTAGAAATGGTGCTCCTGGAAAGACTTACAGACCCTAAACGTTTGGCAAACCCCCACTGAGTGAAAGCTAGGGGCAAAAGGAGGGACGTTAAAACCTGTGGTGACTGTTTCAATCTTTCCACAGCCACCTTTGAAAAAGCTGACAGATTTTTTTCCAGGCAAGAAATTCTAGTTGGATCTTTGCATTTGAGAGCAGCTTTGTATACCAACTGTGGAACGTCTTTTAATGTCTTCACTGTGATTTAATGTGGTCACAGTGAGAGGCCTGGTTTATAATTTTGTGAAAATTCATGTTAAGTGTGGTTTAACAATCACTGCACATGTATGCAGATGTTGCAGTATTTGTTACAAACAAACACAGTTGCCGTCCACAGATATAAGCTGACACATGGATGATGCAGTTTCTAGTTACATGTTTTATTCTATTTCGTTCTGCAGGGATTCACTATAATGGACACTTTTTTCCTTGGACAGAGCTAATGAAAGATACACTTGATGACTCTGTTTATATTAACAATTTATCTTCTTTTTCCGGATTACTTTTGTCATGATTATGATCTCAGCGAGCTCGTACTTGAACACACATGTCCAGTTGCTACGTCTCAGTGATCGTATCGTATCTCTTTCAGCTGTGGGCATCCAGATGAAACTGGAGTTCTTTCAAAGGAAATTCTGGACAGCCAGCAGACAGGTACACATGCATGAACACAAATCCTGCGTCCTTGCATATTCACATGTACATCACAGACACACTAAATACAGGCGAATGTACCTGTTCTAACTTTGAAAACTGTACTAATACAGCCAATACTGCCTAATAAAAGTAGTTTAAACGTACATAGCAAAATAACGCCTACCCGTCTAAAACTAGTAGAAATACTTTCATACATTTATAACCTTTTGAGGGATTTTGAAAGGCACTAAATCTATTGATCCATGAACTGCCTAAATATTTTATGTGATACCCAGATACATTCAAGTTTTGTTTTTGTTGTACAGTGTGCAGCATTAGATGGGAAATGTTCCATAAGCTGTGATGATGAGGTTGGTCAGCTTTCCTTTTCTCCATTGGCCGGGCATGATTCAATCACTTATCCTTCAATAAAATGCTTTGACACTAAGTTTTTATGTTTTACAGAACATTAACTGCTACCTGATTGATAACAACGGCTTTGTTCTGGTCGCGGAGGACTATACTCTGGTAAGACACTAACACAAAAAGAGAGACAAGCACATCTAGAGGAGGATCACGATTAGTTTAAGATTAAGATTAAAAAACCAGCCATAAGCACATAAATTTGACTTGGGTCAATTGGCACAAACCCAATTGTGTTTACTGTTGATGGTGTCGGTAGATGCTGTTGTGGTAATATATCCTAAAATAAAAATAACATCAATGCCCCTTGTTTTAGCTTGCGTGAAATCATCTTCATATCTACTGTACTTGCTTTTGTTTTCCTATCATAATTCAAATATTTTTCCTAAATTCCACCCATGTGGTTGATGGACTGTCCTCAAGGAGAAAGGGTGCTGCTCTAGTATAGACCCTCTGCTTAGACGTCACCGGCCACGCTGTCACTCTGGCTTTGTCTCATCTAGAAGCCAGTCCGCTGGCTGTCACTGTCCTTCCCTTCCTCTTCTTGTTCTTTTCATGTGTCTCCTACTTGCTCCATCCCATTGTTCATTGTATCTTCCTTTAGAGGGAAGGCAGCATTTAGGCATTAGTTAGTTGAGTGGTTTCATGTGATTGTTGTTATGTAGAGATGACCGACTGACAAAGGTAGCAGTCATAAGACACGTCAAAATAGTCAGTACATGTTCGGGTGAGCTGATGGATCTAGCAAGCTGGAATACTCTGCCTCCCAGTTGTCAAGACGATATGCATGTTGACGGATGGAGGTGTGGTTCGCCCAGTTCTGTGTCTGATATGGCCGATGGATGCTAAAGGTTTGAGAGCTTTGTCCCTGCGGCGTCAGCTGGTTCGCAGCACTTTGGACACACGGGAGGTCAGACATGTGACTGAGTGACAGCCAGCAGTCGAGGATGTCATTGGGCCATCTGTTGAAGGAATGAATTAATACAGAAAATGGGAAACAATTTTGATTTACCAAAATTAACAAGTTTTAAGAAATCAAAACCAACAATTTAAAAATATGCACTTGTGTTAAAGAAAAGGATGGAGAGGGAGACTGGCGGGGTGTTGATCCCCTTAAATTAATAATAAGATGGTGGCTCTTTTCAGCCCTCCATCATTCAGCCTATTGGAAGGAGGGATCGGATCATTAAGAATTGTGCAAT